GTTAAAAGGTGCATTATGTTTGAGCTATGGAAAGTTTTAATATGTGTCTGTATATCACACATACGACCGCAAAGCAACAGGAAAGAAGCCTAGACTGCAGGTGTCTGCAAAATCTGCAAAAACATCATAGCACATAGATAAATGTTCAGATAAGAAGTCTAGGGAACACAGCCAAAACGGCAGGATGTACTGACTGAGGTTAACAGTTTAACAGAGTAAGTTAAGGTGAACATTATCTAGTATCTAGGTAGAAAAATAACAGGTACGCTTTGCTATTGGATAAGTGAGGTCTTATTTTACTATTGGATGCTTATGGGATTCTGTTTTTACTATTGGATGATTTGGGTTTGTGGTTTTTTGCCTTTATAAACTGTAATGTACGTAATAAACTTTGCAATCTTCCTGTATCCGACCTGTGTGCTGGTTACTTTGATTGCCCGATCGATCGAGCCCGTGCCACACCCAGACGCCGCGCGGCATATAAGAAATAAGAATATAAGGATTCCAGGAAAGAGGGAATTCCTAACAACCTAATGATGGGGCACAATTCATCCCAATGACAACAATGATGAGGACCAATTTCTCCCACTGACTTCAGTTGTGGGGCACTATTCCTCCCACTGACATCAATGATGGGGCACAATTCCTGCAAATGACACCAGTGACAGGGCACAATTTCTCCCACTGACACCAATGATGGGGCGCAATTCCTCTCAATGACACCAATAATGGGGCACAATTCTTTCCCACTGACACCAATGATGGGGCACAGTTTCTCCCAATTACATCAATGATGGGGCACAATTCATTCCAATGACAGCAATGATGAGGAACAATTCCTCCCACTGACATCAATGATGGGGCATTATTCTTTCCACTGATATTAATGATGGGGCACAATTCCTCCCAATGACACCAACGAAGGGGCATGGTTCCTCCCAATTACACCAATGATGGGGCACAATTCCTCCCAATGACAATAATGATGGGGCACAATTCATCCCAATGACAGCAATGATGAGAAACAATTCCTCCCACTGACACCAAAGATGGGGCATTGTATTTCCCCACAGACGTCGGGACCTTTTCTACTCCCGGTGGGCACAGTCCGACCCCCTAAAGTCTGAAGATTGGTAAACAGGCCCTTTAATTAGAAAGTTTGGAGACCCCTGATCTAAGAAGTAACTGGAAAGTCAGCAACCAAACTAAATTAGTAGGATGTTGCCTCCATCAATGAAAAGTAGTACAATTCAATTAGCAGGTTGATCTACTGATACATTCAGGATAGATGAACCTGTAAGGCTGTGTCCAGTGGTGAGAAAAAAAAGGTTACTAAAAAGTAGCCAGTTGAGGCAAAAAGGGTTTGAAGTGGAGAAGAGGGTTTGGGATCACTCCATCATGGTTAATGCGAAGATGAGGAAACATCTTCCCTGATCCAATCTTTGAAGCAGTGAATCAGAGACCAGGAGGTCCAAGTTTTTTTGAATGGTTCTTCCCCGCCACTTTCCTGCGACAACAGATGTTCCAGATCCCTGATGGAATCTAGTTCAGTTGCTCATTCCACAAGGAGAGGTGTAAAGGTTGTTTTACAAACAGGGGCGGACTGAGAACTCATGGGGCCCCGGGCAATAGGGGATCATGGGGCCCCTGTGTCTTCGCCCACACTCAAACCACACCCAAAAAAACCTATGAAAGGTACCAGGGGCATCTCATGGGGACCCCTACTGACCCCGGGCCCTCAGGCAGTGCCCTAGTGCTCGAATGGTCAGTCTGCCCCTGTTTACAATATTGGGGTATGACCATCCTGGCCATGGGCTAGAAAATGCCCGAGAACACCTTTTTTATGGACTTAAAACGTTTCAGGAATCATGGAGGGGAGTCCCATCGAGGGAGCAAGTTGGATGTGAGTCGCCATAAGCTTACAATGGAGATTAAGGATTTGCGTCACAATGCTTTGGATAGGGGGGCAGTCTCTCTCTGCAGCAGCTAAAAGCCAACGGGAAGGAGAAGAGAAGAAGCCAGTTTTCAGCTGCTGCATAGCGAGCCATTAAGGGGATCAGACCCAGTAATTTCTCCCCCTGCTGTGCCGATCACCCTCCCTGTTCACATCTGATTTCAGATACAAACCATATTCTGTGATGGTATATCCCAAGGTCAACGCGTTTCACGGACTTTATCCAGTTCTTCAGAACCATTGATAGACAATACCTTTCCTCAGAGATGTGGTTTGTATGATCTGTCTAGAACGGCCATGCTCAACCAGGGCCCCTTGGAACTCCAGGGTTCCTCCAGAGCAGGGGTGGACTGACAACTCATGGGGCCCCCAGGCAATAGGGGGATCATGGGGCCCCTGTGTCCTTGCCCACACTCAAGCACACCCAAAAAAAGCCTATGAAAGGTACCAGGGGCATCTCATGGGGCCCCCTACTGACACCGGGCCCTCTTGCACTGCCCGAGAGCCCGAATGGTTAGTCCGCCCCTTCTCCAGAGATTGCTAGAGGTTCCTTGAGCTGATTGACCTCCTATTTGATGGTGCCTTCATAGTTCCAGGGTTAACACCATTTCACAGAGCCGACTGCATGAACTCAATGATCTTTTAGCTGTCTGTAAGGGTGGCATTATGACCACCACTGTAAGAGGGTGGGGGGAGGCATTCTTCACACTGACCACCAATATAGGAAACATTTTTTTTTGTATAATCTTTATATGAGCTGTAGATGTCACTCTATTACATTAGCATGAGTCTGTGAAATGTGTACATAACATATCACCATTTGTACTTGAAAGGTAGCCATACAGTCCATAGGTTGCGGCATTATTAAAAAAAAAAAAAGGAAGAAAAGGAAAAAGCAGATGAGAAATCTCCCCAAGAGAGAAAATGTGTCAATGAAAGTGTCAATGAAACAGGGAGCATCTAGACGTGATGAAGACGGCTTGCTGAAGTTCAATCGAAGCATCAGAATGGCAAAGAAAGGGGATTTAAGTGACTTTGAACGTGGCATAGTTGTTGGTGCCAGACGGGCTGGTCTGAGTATTTCAAAAACTGCTTATCTACTGGGATTTTCACTCACAACCATCTCTAAGGTTTACAGAGAATGGTCCGAAAAAGAGAAAATATCCAGTGAGTGGCAGTTGTGTGGAGGAAAATGCCTTGTTGATGTCAGAGGTCAGAGGAGAATGGGCAGACTGGCTGCTGCAACATTCAGATGGTAGGGTCATAAACAACATGAAAGCATGGATCCATCCTGCCTTGTATCAATGGTTCAGGCTGCTGATGGTGTCATGGTGTGTTGGATCCGTCCTGCCTTGTATCAATGGTTCAGGCTGGTGGTGGTGTCATGGTGTGGTGGATCCATCCTGCCTTGTATCAATGGTTCAGGCTGCTGGTGGTGTCATGGTGTGGTGGATCCATCTTGCCTTGTATCAATGGTTCAGGCTGGTGGTGGTGGTGTCATGGTGTGGTGGATCCATCCTGCCTTGTATCAATGGTTCAGGCTGCTGATGGTGTCATGGTATAGCAAGACGACTGGGTCAGAGCAACTCCAAAACTGCAGCTCTGTGGGATGTTCCCAGTCTGCAGTGGTCAGGACCAGGGGTGGACTGACCATTCCAGCTCCCGTTCTCTGCCCGAGGATCTGGGGTCAGTAGGGGTCCCTATGAGATACCCCTGGTACGTTTCATAGGCTGTTTTGGGTGTGATTTGAGTGTGGGCGAGGACACAGGGGCCCCATGACCCCCTATTGCCCGGGGGCCCCACGATTTGCTAGTCCGCCCCTGGTCAAGACCAACCAAAAGTGGTCCAAGGAAGGAAAACCAGCGAGCTGGAGACAAGGTCATGGGCAGTCAAGGCTCATTGATGCACAAGCGGAACAAAGCCTGGGCTGTATAGTCCGATCCAATAGAAGAGATACTGGAGCTCAAATTGCTGAAAAAGTGAATGCCGGTTCTGAAAGAAAGTTGTCAGGAGACACAGAGCATCGCAGTTTGTTGTGTATGGGGCTGTGTAGTCACAGACTGGTCAGGGTGCCCATGCTGACCCATGTCCACAACCAAAAGTGCCTACAATGGGCATCAAAACTGGACCATGGAACAATGGAAGAAGATGGCCTGGTCTGTTGAATTAAAAATTGTTTTAGGAACACAAGTTTGAAGTGGTGACTTGGCCTCCAAATTCTCCAAATCTCAATCCAATGAAGCATCTGTGGGATGTGCTGAAAAAACCAAGTCCAATCCATGGAGGCCCCACCTCTCAACTTACACGATTTAAAGGATCTGCTACCAACGGCTTGGTACCAGATACCACAGCATATCTTCAGGGGTCTAGTGGAGTTCATGTCTCGATGGGTTATGGTGGGTGGTCATAATGCTCTGGCTTATCAGTGTAAACTACCTGTTGACGATAGTATGTAAAAAACTTTTTTCGCCGATACTAGAAAAGATGGGACTATTGGGACAGCAGCACACACCCGGCTATACCACTAGCAAAAAACAACAAACAGAAAGTGGATGTTGCACTCATCACAATAATGCCGCAGACATTCCAAGACAAATAATGAGATGAGAAGACAATAGATAATACACCATAGCATAATCAGTAAATGGAAGGAATATGGGAGCGAAGGGAAAGGTGAAATAATAAAAGGTCCAAAATGAGGACCAAAAGGTGTAACAGACAATAAACCGTGACCGCGGGCAAAACGCACGGAAATGATCGGGGAAAAATAAAATATTAATGAAATCACAGTAATAGTTGGACATAGGAGTCTGTCATCACATACATGAAATATCGTGAATACAAGTGATGAGAAAGTGGAGCAAAATGTGAAGTTACCTGTTGACAATGATTGCTTCCGAAAAAGTGGATAAAGTCCACGAAACGCGTTGACCCTGGGATATGTCCTTGTTAAGGACCCACAAGGATCACATGGCTCATTCAATCACATATCCCAAAGATAAGGGTGTTATTCCCCAATTTAGGTCAGCGAGTGGGTTTTATGCCCCAAAGGAACATGGGACATGACCTAGCACACGGGTGTCAAACTGGCTGCCCTTCAGCTGTTGTCAAGTCCCATGAGGCATTTCAAGATTGACAGTTACAAGCATGACTCCCAAAGGCAGAGGCATGATGGGACTTGTAATTTGGCAACAGCTGAAGGGCCGCCAGTTTGACACCCCAGGTTGAGACGAAGGCTTGGTGGTAAATTGGGTCATGCCTGGACAAACCTTCCACAAATTTGCAACCCACCCAACCCTCAACAATTAGCTGTTTTACCAGCACTTTTAAGCAATCTTGAAGCGTCGATGTTTGTTTTGTTTGTTTTGTAAATTGGGTCATGCCTGGACAACCCCTCCAACTGTTGTTGGCTCATTTTCCTCAACCTGCACTCCCCAAATAATAAGACAGCTGGGCAGACTTTATCATAGGAAAATGGAAAATCTTCACACTGCCTCCTCGATGCTGATCAGTGGAGATCCCCAACCCTCAACAATTAGCTGTTCTACCAGCACCTTTGAGCAACCTTGAAGAGTTCGATCTTTGGCAATATTGTGTTTTTTTGGGGGGGGGGGTTGGTACTAATTTCCCAAAGTGGCAGTTTCCTCAAAACCTCTTGTCAGGGGGGGCTGATAAAAAAAAAAATGTTCTTCATGAAAAATATTTCTTAACATTGAACCAATGTCCCATCAAACCTAAATCCTGTCCATTACTTTTTAAACAGGAATGTTGGCAACCCAATCACCACTTACTGGTGTTCTAGTGACCGAAGATGTCCACAGTGGTCTGATGTCTGCATTTTGTAAATGTTAAGGATCCACAAGGATCACATGGCTCATTCAATCACAAATCCCAAAGATAATGGTGTTATTCCCCAATTTAGGTCAGCGAGTGGGTTTTATGCCCCAAAGGAACTTGGGACATGACCTAGCTCACGGGTGTCAAACTGGCTGCCCTTCAGCTGTTGCCAACAGTGTAGTTTGGCAACAGCTGAAGGGCCGCCAGTTTGACACCCGTGAGCTAGGTCATGTCCCAAGTTCCTTTGGGGCATAAAACCCACTCGCTGACCTAAATTGGGGAATAACACCATTATCTTTGGGATATGTGATTGAATGAGGCATTGCAAGATTGACAGTTACAAGCATGACTCCCAAAGGCTGAAGCATGATGGGACTTGTAGTTTCACAACAGCTGGAGGGCCGCCAGTTTGTTGAGAGAGAGGCTTGCTTGGTGGTAAATTGGGTCATGCCTGGACAAACCCTCCAACTGTTGCCAAACTACAAGTCCCATGAGGCATTGCAAGATTGACAGCTACTTGATATCAGTGACCACATCCTTATGTATCTCAAGCCTAGTACACCCGATCAGAAAATCGTGCGAAAAACCCCGCCTTCCAAGCGATCGTATGATAATCTGATCGTTAGTACACAGCTTTTGGCTGAAATTGTTTGAAGAGACGAACATGAATATTTTTCTCGTATGAAATACAACACAAATACGTTACATCACTTCCGAACTCTGGGAATGAATGACGCACCCGCACGACCGCACTGGTTTCAAATCTGACAGATAGTATGGGGAGAAGTCTGTCTTCGTCTGCGGCTATGGGAACATGTTACATGTAGCCAGGGGCAGACTGACAACTCATGGGGCCCCCAGGCAATAGGGGATCATGGGGCCCCTGTGTCCTTGCCCAAACTCAAAAAAGCCTATGTAAAAGGTACCAGGGGCATCTCATGGGGCCCCCTACTGACCCCGGGCCCTCGGGCAGTGCCCGAGTTTCCAAATGGTCAGTCCGCCCCTGCATGTAGCACCCTAAAAACATGTTCCAAAGGTGAACTTATCCTTTAACCCAGTGGTCTCCAAACAGGACTTTTTTTTTGTTATGGCCGCCTTACCAAAATGCCTTCAAAAAGAAAAAGAAAAATTCATAATGAAGGCAACTGTGAAAAGCAGCCGGGCTGATGAATATTTAACGATGGAGCACAAAGACTATGAATGATGTCTAACAATGTCAAGAAAGAAGTCCTTGTAATTAAAGAGCACAATGCCAGGAGATGTTACTCAACAAAACATTCCAGTCCTGCTAATCAGGACAAATTAAAATTGATAAAGTCAAAGGGCGATTGTTGGCCAGCAGCCGGAGAGACATCAGAGCCGGCAATCAACATTCAGCAGAGTGCCCCCTCATGGTGAGTATAGGGAAATGTCTGGATTTTATTATGACTGGTTTGCCCTGAAAATAACCGCTGGTAGAAAAAAAAAAATATACAAAAATCTGCTTCTTACATTAAACTTTACTAAGTAAAAAAAAAATATTTTTCTTTAAAGTGTAACTCCACTTTTGTGGTAAAAATAGCAAATAATATCAATAAAAAAAAAATAATAATAATATACCACAGTGCAGTGGCTAAATGGTTAGCACTTCCGCCTGGCAGTATTAGGGTTGTTTGTTTGAATCCCAACCATGACACCACCTGCCTGGAGTTTGTATGCCTTGCCTGCATGGGTTTCCTCCCACCCTCCAAAGACAGGCTGGTAGGTTAATTGGATACGTGAAGGGGAAACCTCCTGAGCTCAACCCTAATATACTAAAAAATAGCTGCTAACACCTGCACCTGTTACCCATAGTGAAAAAACATAAAATTATAAATGAATGGTGTAGCCCTTTACAAAATCTTTCCTTTATTTATACCGTGAACAAACAATATAATCAGGACCAAATCACAGCAGGTCAATCATACAGTGATAGATAAAAACAAATTCTATCTATAGTGAATAGCCACAACTATATCCCCGGTCCTGGGAAACATATAAAATTGGTGTTAAGTGCTCTGTGTCACACCAAGTAAATACACATGTGTAACACACTAAAGTGAAAATAAAAAGTACAATCGTGAACAACATAAAGCAATTTATGAACCCATAAGTAACATAAATTCATATACAGTGTGAAAACAGTGTACCCTGATGAAGTCACGTGACTAGTGACGCAACGCGTAGGTTGGTCTAAATTTGTTTAAGCAAGATATTCCATTGGAGTTTATATAACACATAGAGAACATTTGATTTATATATATATAGATAGATAGATATACACGCACACTCACCGGCCACTTTATTAGGTCCACCTTGCTAGTACCGGGTTGGACCCCCTTTTGCCTTCAGAGCTGCCTTCATTCTTCATGGCATTGATTGCTTGACTGGCCTGCCTGACCTCAACCCCATAGAACACCTTTAGGATGAATTAGAGCGGAGACTACGAGCCAGGCCTCCTCCCCCGACATCAGTGCCTGACCTGACAAATGTGCTTTTGGAAGAATGGTCCAACCTTCCCATAGACACCCTCCTAAACCTTGTGGACGGCCTTCCCAGAAGAGTTGAAGCTGCAATAGCTGCAGAGGGCGGGGCCAACTCAATATTGAACCCTACGGGCTAAGACTGGGGGGCCATTAAAGGTCATATGCGTGGAAAGGCCGGCAGCCCAATACTTTTGGGAATATAGTGTATATATACTGTATATTTATATATATAATGTTTGGGGGTTCTAAGGAAGTACGCATCCTATATGTTTAGATTAGGAAGGTCGCTGGGGGAGCCCCATCCAAATGTTGACTTGGGGCCTCATGGTCTGTAGTCATACTCCTCTGCCTGTCCATTCAAGTATTTGGTTGCATCCATACAACCTTTCCATGGAGACCACGGGGTCCCCAGATCCCCCTTCACCATGTATGTTAACAATTATTCCTTGACACAATTCCTCTTTACCGACGATGGTAACCCAAGATAATTGTTCCTTGTGGATTAAATAAAGATCTGTTGAAATCTGTGGTCATTTTTTGGGGAACATATCTATGGCGTTGACAATCAGTACGTAGTTTAGGGATCGACTTCCAACATCCCACAAGGTCCTTCAGATCTAAGCAGTAGATGCCTCAACCACAATGACTGCAACTATTCCAATGGGAATCTCTCCCTTCCCCCGATCATGGCTTCTATGAGATGATGAAACTGCACTGTGAATATCAAACATCCATTTAACATTCCGGACGCTTCAAAAGATAAAAGTAGCTGAATGTTCTCCGGGTGACAATGACTCTTTTATGGGGTTTGACCTTTATATACCAAAAAAACATAAAACATGCTAAAAAATCTAATAGCAAACTGCAAGTAGTGTACAGTATGTAGTCCTCTCAGATAATGCTCTCCACAAACAGACTACTGTCAGTGATGTCACCGCTCTCTAGTGAATGGATAGGCTGCATTCTCAGTGATGTCACCGGTCTCTAGTGAACGGATAGGCTGCACTCTCAGTGATGTCATCGCTCTCTAGTGAAGGGATAGGCTGCATTCTCAGTGATGTAACCGCTCTCTAGTGAACGGATAGGCTGCATTCTCAGCGATGTCACCGCTCTCTAGTGAATGGATAGGCTGCATTCTCAGTGATGTCACCGCTCTCTAGTGAACGGATAGGCTGCATTCTCAGTGATGTCACCGCTCTCTAGTGAATGGATAGACTGCGTTCTCAGTGATGTCACCGCTCTCTAGTGAATGGATAGGCTGCGTTCTCAGTGATGTCACCGCTCTCTAGTGAATGGATAGGCTGCGTTCTCAGTGATGTCACCGCTCTCTAGTGAATGGATTGGCTGCGTTCTCAGTGATGTCACCGGTCTCTAGTGAACGGATAGGCTGCGTTCTCAGTGATGTCATTGCTCTCTAGTGAACGGATAGGCTACATTCTCAGTGATGTCACCGCTCTCTAGTGAATGGATAGGCTGCATTCTCAGTGATGTCACCGCTCTCTAGTGAATGGATAGGCTGCAATCTCAGTGATGTCACCGCTCTCTAGTGAATGGATAGGCTGCATTCTCAGTGATGTCACCGCTCTCTAGTGAATGGATAGGCTGCACTCTCAGTGATGTCATTACTCTCTAGTGAATGGAAAGGCTGCATTTTCAGTGATGTCAGCGCTCTCCAGTGAATGGATAGACTGAATTCTCAGTGATGTCACCGCTCTCTAGTGAATGGATAGGCTGCATTCTCAGTGATGTCACCGCTCTCTAGTGAATGGATAGACTGCGTTCTCAGTGATGTCACCGCTCTCTAGTGAATGGATAGGCTGCATTCTCAGTGATGTCACCGCTCTCTAGTGAATGGATAGACTGCGTTCTCAGTGATGTCACCGCTCTCTAGTGAATGGATAGGCTGCGTTCTCAGTGATGTCACCGCTCTCTAGTGAATGGATAGGCTGCGTTCTCAGTGATGTCACCGCTCTCTAGTGAATGGATTGGTTGCGTTCTCAGTGATGTCACCGGTCTCTAGTGAACGGATAGGCTGCGTTCTCAGTGATGTCATTGCTCTCTAGTGAACGGATAGGCTGCATTCTCAGTGATGTCACCGCTCTCTAGTGAATGGATAGGCTGCATTCTCAGTGATGTCACCGCTCTCTAGTGAATGGATAGGCTGCAATCTCAGTGATGTCACCGCTCTCTAGTGAATGGATAGGCTGCATTCTCAGTGATGTCACCGCTCTCTAGTGAATGGATAGGCTGCACTCTCAGTGATGTCATTACTCTCTAGTGAATGGATAGGCTGCATTCTCAGTGATGTCAGCGCTCTCTAGTGAATGGATAGGCTGCATTCTCAGTGATGTCACTGATCCCTAGTGAATGGAAGGGCTGAATGTTAGACATTCATTTAGTTTTGGATCGATTTGTTAAATTACTCATTTCATTTTGTTGCATTCGTAACAAAATTTGTCCAATTTAGTTTAGTTTTATTTATTTGTTTTCGACTGGATTCAAAATTTTCCAGTGGATTTGAAGAATTCAAATTTAATTTAAATCAAGAATATTGAATTGATCCGAATTCATTGCTCAGAATAGCTGGTTCTATTCTATTTGAAATTCAAATTTCGGAAGATGTTTATATACTATTTTTTTCTATTCTATTCTAATCTATTCTTTTTTTCGATTCTACTTGTTTCCTTTATTTTCTATTGTAATCTTTCAATTTCTATTCTATTCTGTTCTGCTTTACTCTTTTCTATTCTATTCTTTTCAAAATTCGAGTTTCGGAAGACGGCTATACAGTTGCAAGAAAAAGTATGTGAACCCCTTGGGATTACGTGGAGTTTTGCATGAATTGGGCATAAAATGTGCTCTGAACGTCATCTAAGTCAGCGTTTTTCAACCACTGTGCCGCGGCACA